CGTCTCCACACTTGGTGGTCAGCAGCGATCTGAGACGCAGCGCCACCGCATTTGGAAACCTTGACGGTTTCCTCGTGAAAATAAAAGGCTATCCAACTGCTAAAACTCCCTTCTAATTTTAGTGAATCACAGTCCAGTCACCTAAACACACATTTAGTGGAATATTTCTAGTGGCTTTTTCCCCTTTTTTTACTGACTTGTAAAATTCTCATTATCCACACCCACGGTCCTTGCACTGTGGCACATGGGTTCCAGGCCCACCAGAGTGCTGCTGAAGAGGGCTGGGAAATCAAAACTGTCTTCATAAGAACGAAAACCAGTGTCTGCCTGGTTCGCTGTGCTCCCGTTTGCACTAAAGGTGCAGATGCCCCGGTGGGTAAGGCTGTTGCCCTAGCTCAAATCAAAACAGTAGCTCCCAAGTATTGCCACAGTAACTGTATTCTTCAGGGCTAAGCACTGACAATGAAAGTCAAGAGCCAGTTTCACCTAAAAACTGGAGGACTCTCCTTGATGAAGTAGTAAAATCATTAATTCTGTTAATTCTAGACCCTTAAATCTCGAGGTCTCTTCCCTGCTGTCCTGATACACGGAGAAATTTGCACAAAGAACCAGGCACCTGCCCCTAAGAACTGGGCTGCCTCCCAGCCAAGCGGGGTGCGGCTGTTGGAGTTGCGAGCTGAACTAGCTACTTCGTTGACGGAATGTTACTCGGCAGGGCAACTCACAGAGATGCTATGATTTTTTAGACTCGAGAGTCTGGCAGAGAGTTCTTTTGTTGATTGAAAATAAAAAAAGGGAATCTGACTCTTCAAGGAAAGTAACTAATCATCCATGTTACTAATGATAAAATTTGAGCTGTTAGGGAAAAAGTCAAATTTTGAAACACTTCTAACCATCACAATGAAGTTGGGAGCCAAGACAATTAAGGACTTTTTCAATAAGATCCATTTACACCAATATTTTCCAAAGGACCAATGCCTTGATGTCTGCAAGTCACGTACAGGTAAACAGCCATTCAGAATACAAAGTAGAGTGATATATTAGTATTCAACAAAGTATGAATACTTCACTGATAGGGTTTCGAATTCAACATGGCAAGTAGGTTTTAAAAAACTGGCCCTCGTGGATGGAGTTCTGGAGAAGCACCAAAGAAAATGGACAGCTACCGGAAGAGGGTGTTCAAGTGTTCCTCCTGTAACCAAGCCACACCTCTGAGTGAGGGTGGATTCTTCTCTTATACATATACATACACATATACATATACATATACATATACATATACATATACATATACATATACATATACATTACCCAAGCAACATTCTTTGCAATAGATGAAGAAGGTTTGAGAATCCAGCTATCTTCTCTTATAAGTCATATATTAAAGAGATTTATGAAAATATAAAATAATGTCTCTCATCATTATTTTTGGTTTAGCAAAATAAGGTTTTATCTAATACAATACAATAAAATATATTGTTTAATATGGTCTTTAAATGAATTAACATTTTATCAATTTTCTCAATTTTAATGTTCAAAATAGTAAATGTCAATAAATAAGACAAACCTGAGCCAATGTCTTTTGGGGTCCTTGCCAATTTCTAAGAGTAGGGAGGGGTCCTGAGACCACCAAATTTAAGAACTGAGAGCTTGGACACATGTATAGTATTTCCTCCCATTTAAGCCCTAAGTCTGCCCTGGCTGGTGTGGCTCAGTAGATTGAGATTGAGAGCCAGCCTGTGAAACAAAGAGTTGCTGGTTCTATTTCCTATCAGGGCACATGCCTGGGTTGTGGGCCGGGTCCCCAGTGGGGGACAGCAACCACACATTAATGCTTCTGTTCCTCTCTTTCTCCCTCTCTTCCCCTCTAAGAATGAATAAATAAAATCTTTTAAAAATAAATGAATAAATAAATAAACTCTAAGTTCCATGTGAGTCCACCCACCTAGGTTCCTCTTTTTCCTTTTTGAGTTTTTTTGACAATTCTCAATTCATTCGTAGAACAGGAGTAACTGGTATGCCCTTATGTCCTAAGTTCAATTAATGATCAAGATCGATTTTACTAACTTCCTGCATTCCCCCAGCTGCTCTCGGTTAATTTATTTCTGAGGCACAAGAACACTCTGCTACCATCTCATTCAGCATGGACAGACAGACCAGCTACTGCACCTCGGCCAACACACCAGGCTCTAACACAGACCAGCACAGCAAAGCCTCTGACCTTGACGAGGTCCAGCCTAGCCCCTCAGCTGCAAGTTCTCACACAACCCACGTTAAAAGAGAAGTGCTTATTGAAGTGCAGTATCTCCACTTGTTCTCAAACCCAGAACAATGGTTCAAAATGCATACGAGCTATTCTCACACAACCAAGACTCTTCTCAGGATGTAACGACACAAAATAAAAAGATAATAAACCTTATGTCTGCAACCCAACACCATCCTTCAAAGACACTCCTATTCAGGCCAACGTTTTAGCTGTGAGACAGGCAGGGTTCGGGAAGGTACACCCTGGACAGATGTCCGGAATGAGCACTAGAGGAGCCCCAGACCCCAGCTCCGCCCCACGGTGTCAGAGCTGGAAAAGGAATGCCAGCTAAAGCATTTCCCTCTCACCCCCTGACCCTGGGCTTGCCCAGGGAATGTGGTCAGCCGTGACTCCAGCCAGAAACCTGAGCAAGCCGCCCAGATTCCTATCAGTGAACAGGAATAAAGTTTTTTTTTAAATCCACTGGAGCAAGTTTGCCCATGGAAACAAACAATTGAAAATTCACCTCTGACAACCAGACATAATGTATAACTTCTTTTTGCAGAACCATGGCAAATTAATTGTTTTGGCAGAAGAAAAAAAGTACTTCATTGTATATACTTAAGAGATACAACCAATAATAATATGAAACTCTAGCTCCCAACTACTGCTTCCAATATTCTTGGGGAAAGGCACATTTGCTTTCAATTTGAAGAGTGGCTGGGCCTTGGGAACTCAGGCGTGGTTTACAATTTCAGCACTTCAGTTCACAGAAGACACCCTGACCACTTTTTTTCTTATAAAACAATCATCATAATGAATTCTCCTAGATTTCTAAGTAAATAGGTTACAGGAAATGCAAATAACTTTTCCTATGGGTATTATTTGAGGCCAGAAAAAGTAACGAACATATTACCCCCTATTACTAACAAAATGACTTAGAATGATTTTTAAATCCGCAGGCCTATTACAGAGACAGCACTGTTTAAAAATTTAATATAAGCCAAACTTTGCATATCTAATGAGTAAATAACAAGACTCTTGTCTAATGATAAGAGGGGACACTCGCTCTCATGTTCCATATTCTGTAATAAATGGAATACATGGAACCAACCAGCAACAACAACATCACTTGTCTTACAGTTTAGCAAATGCATCTAAAACCTGGAAGGACTTAATTGCCTGTCTTTAATGAATATTTCAGCCTTCAAACCAGTGGAACCTCTTCATCCAAGAAGTGATTCCAAAGAAGGCAGGCAGAGACAGGGAATGGGTTCAGGGGAGGAATATACCAACTCAAAATAAAATTTTGTAAATCGAGGCCTGAGTAAAACCAAACAGCTTAACGTATAAGACCTATGTTACAATCTTCAAAAAACTAATTCGGTCAAAGAGGACATTTGGGTTAGAAGTCCCTTCAGGGCTATGTATAAAAGATAAAACTGAATTCTACTTTGGGTTGTATTTCTAAGAATTATATCTCTATTAAGAAGTATATCTGTAATATCCTCTAGGCCATGGATATGTTGCTCCATCCATTGAACAGACACAGCTAGCTATTATGGAAAAAATCACAGGGGATTCAAAAAGATAATAATAATAAATGAGCATTTTAAATAAAGAAAACGCCTCACCTCCCCCAAACAGAAAAGCAAGAAAACAAATTCATGAGCCTCCACCGTCTCCCAAGCATGTTATGTCTGGGTCACTGCCAAGTATCACAAACCACATTTGATGTTTTCTGCTTTTGGCTGAATGACACCAGAATGTCTTTGACGGGGGAAGGGAGGGACAGAGAGAACTTGGAAAATGGCAAACATGAGCTTTCCAGAGTGTAGCTGTGTCATTTCTGATGGATCTCAAGACAACACGGGAAGTGTTTCAATTAAAAAGCAGACCAGTGATGTAGGGAGGGAGCATGGGCAGCCAAGCTTGCAGCTCTCCCGGCCTATGCCGCGAAACCCGGACTTCTCACAGGTCAGCAGACAGAGCGCCCGGGCCATGGCCTGAGCAATGCAGTCCTGTCTCTGGAAACAGCCTCTCCTGGCTGACCATTCACAGCCTATTACATGTTTTAGGTCAGAAGGGAAGAGCAAGGAGTGGCCTAAGTCAGAAGACATTGTCTAAAATGTGAAGGCAAGATGAAATCAGGAATCTCCCCAAACTTGGCTCCGCACATTGAAATCAGTCCCTCCCTCTACAGAAACCGCCAAGGCTGCTGAGAATGGGAAAGTGAACGGGGTCGGGATCTAAGCTGTCAGTCTGTCCTCATGGCCACGCCCCCCCTAGACAGGGAGGCTGTTATTGGCAACTTCTACCCCAGTTCTTCATTTTGGAACAGAAATGTCTTAGTCTGAGAACTGCCATTCTCTAGTAGACTTCCTTACTGAGAGCTGTTTAGTTTAGCGATGGGATTCAGCTTAGGTAATTGGGTGTGGGTCTGTGTTTTTTGGTGGAGGGAAGGGGAGGAAGAACACTTCTGAAATGGCTAAAGATTTCTCCCTGGCCTTATACATATGACTTCTATGAGGGGAAACAGAACCTAAAAACCATACATTGTTTAGATCTGACTGGGATCAAGCTGAATTTTATGTCATTCTTGTAAGTCTCTGTGCCAGAGTATTTTCCTATACTCCCATCAGTAAAATCAACCATCAACAATCAAGGTAAATAATCATAGAAAGTAATATAAAGAGAATGGTGTTTCAAAACAGCATGGCAACAAAGAAGTCATAAAGGACAGCGAGACCGTTACCTCCGCTCTCTGTGTTCTGGGGAAAGCAGTGGACTTCTCTATGGCGTACACCTCCACCAGGTACAGGCAAGCTCCTTGCTCCCGGTCCAGGACGGCCGCCGTCTGCATCATGCCGGTCAGCCGCCCGATGGTAAAGAGGCGGCCCACGGTCTTTTCTTCACAGCGAACGGAGACGATGTAATACTCCACTGGGGCTTCCGACCCTCTGGGGCTAGCCGCTTCTATTGATATCACGTTAGTCCCAATGGGTTCCCCTTCCTTCAAAATAGTTATATACTTGGGTTGCGTAAAAACAGGTCCGTCAAGGCCCTGAAGAATGACGGTCAGTTCAGTGGTGGATTTCCTCCTTTCGGGGCCAAGGTCCGTGGCCGAGACGATGAGGTTGTAGATCAGCTGGGAGGGCACCAGCGCGGAGGCTACTCTCAAGTCCCCGCTGAAACGGTCCACGACGAAGGTGTCTGTGTCCCCGTTGATGATCTCGTACTCCACTTCTCCGTTGGCACCTTCGTCTGGGTCGGCCGCCATGACTGTGGTCAGGACGGTGCCGATCACGGCCGAAGGGTCGGCTGCCAGGGCGTTTTGTGATATGAACACTGGGACGTTGTCATTGAGGTCTGTAACCAAGATGGTCACGTTTTTCAAAGCACACCGTCTAGTCTCCACAGGCACGGCTTGGTCGTTGGCTTTCACCGTTAACTCAAAGAGATTAGCGAATTCCCGATCTATTTCAGCGTTTGTATATATGGTGCCTTGGACTTCATCTATGCCAAAGTGGTTGCCCCTGGGCATCTGCTGGACGATCGCATAAGCTAGTTGCCCATTAATGTCTGCATCGGGGTCGTGGGCAGTCACTGAAATGACAGATGTCCCAATGGGAATGTTCTCAACAATGGACTTGAAAATATCCCCGGGGGGAAAGCTAGGAGGGTTGTCGTTGAAGTCTCTCACCTGTATCACCACTGACATTGTGGATGAACGAGGAGGCCTTCCTTTGTCTTTTGCCGTTATATTTAATTTGTACAAAGACTGTGTTTCAAAGTCCAATTTCTTGGCAAGAAAAATACTCCCAGTGTTTGGGCTAATGCTGAAAGTTCCGTGGTTGTTAGTCCCAGTGATGCTGTATTGTAAATCAGCATTGTCACCGGAATCTGAGTCAGTGGCAGTGACAGAGGACACCAGCTCACCAATTCTCATGTTTTCCAAAACATCCACAAAGAGTGTCGACTTAGGGAAGGAAGGGGTGTTGTCATTCTCATCTAAAACATCAATAGTTAAGGTACAGGTTGAATTGAGGGACACAGCCCCGGAATCCACCGCCTGAATTACAAGGGAATAGGCAGCTGTGGCTTCGTAGTCTAATTGGCCAATGAGCGTCACCTGACCAGAGGTGCCATCTATAGCAAACTGTCTCTCTTCGTTTCCCTTTATTACAGAATAATGAATAAGTCCATTACTACCTTCATCAACATCTGAGGCCGACACTCTTAAAACCTGCGTCAGGTTGGCTGCCGACTCGGATACGGTGGCTTGGTAGAAGTCTTTCACAAACTTGGGGGCGTTGTCATTTACATCCTTCAAGTAAACATGCACAGTCGCCTGATCCTTGAGAGGGTGCGGGAGCCCCTGGTCTGTGGCAATGACTGTGAAGGTGAACACCGCAGCCCCCCTGCGCCTCATAAGAGACTCCCTGTCGAACTGGTGGGTGCTTGTGATGTCCCCACTAAGAGCGTGCAGCTCAAAGTGCGGCTGCACCGTTTCAAAAGAATACCTGACTTCTCCATTTGGCCCGAAGTCTTTATCTACAGCACTCACTTTGCCCACGAACGCCCCAGCTTTCTGCTCCTCTTCGAAATAAAATGAGTAATTGGTACTGTTGAAAAGAGGTCTGTTATCATTGACATCTTCTAAAATTACAGTAACATTCACAGTCGCACTCAGGGGTTCCACTGCTCTGTCGGAAGCTACAACCAGTAAAACGTATCTGTCCTGAAGTTCACGGTCCAGTTCACTCTTTATATACAGCTGACCATCTGGGAATATGCCAAAAGCATCCCCGGTATTTCCTTCAGCGATGCTGTATGCAATTTCGCCATTTGCTCCCGAATCCTTATCAGAAGCTTGCACTTGAAAGAACCGAGAATTCACAGGTTCTGACTCAGAAAGCGTGACCTCATAAGAGAGCTGGTCAAATACCGGTGGATTGTCATTGACGTCATGGACATAAACGGTTAAGATGACGCTCGAGGAGAGCTGGGGCACACCCATGTCAGATGCCAGGATCTCTATCTGGTAGGAACCAGCGTGGGCATCCAGGGGCCTCAGCAGACTAACGTGCCCACTCTTCTCGCTGATGGCGAACAGGTTCCTGGGGTTCTGCTTCAGGGTATAGAGCACCATGCCATTGACACCTTCATCAGGGTCCACAGCCTTGGCTTGGAAAATGCTGTGACCTGCCTGCCAGTTCTCCACCACATTCACACTCTCCACTGCCTGAAGAAAATGGGGAGAGTTGTCATTCAAATCCTTAACTGTTATGTTAACCACAGTGTCTCCGGTCACAGCGCCCCCACTGGCCACCACTTTCAGCTGATAAAAGGATTGCTCTTCTCTGTCAATCACACTGGCTGTTGTAAGCTGCCCAGTGACCTGGTTAATTGCAAACATACCTTTCTGATCCCCAGTGGTAATGAGATAACTGATGTTGGCATTGAGATCCATGCTGGACGCAGACACACTACCCACGTGATATCCCAGAGCCACATTCTCAAAGACCACGAAGCTGTAGGCAGCCTGGCTGAACACGGGTGGGTTGTCTTGAGTGTCCAGTACAGTGATGGTCACTATTGCCTGGTTGGGAGACTGCAAATTGCCACCATCAGTAGCCACTATTTGCAACTGGTAAGCTGTTTTTTCTTCTCTGTCTAGGGCCATTCTGGTAGAAATCTCCCCGCTCTGAGCATTGACCTGAAACCGAGACCTGTCCCCAGCTGATATGCTGTATCTGACAGTTCCATTGAGACCCAAGTCGGGGTCCGTGGCAGACACAGTAGTGATGTAGCTACCGCCAGGCTCATTCTCCTGAATATGAGCAAAGTACTGGATTGGGTAGAACACAGGACTGTTGTCATTCACATCCAGGAGACTGACATTTATGCGAGCCAACGAGGACTGGGGCGGGGAGCCCAGATCTGTGGCCAGGACCAACAGGGAGTAGAACGCTTGCTCCTCTCTGTCCAAGGAGGAGACCGTACTCAACCTCCCGGACACCGGGTCCAGGCGGAAGGACCTCTGGTCAGTCTCGGCCTCTTGTAGGGAGAAGCGCACCGTCCCATTGTCACCCAGGTCCCCATCGGTTGCCCCAAGCACTAGCAGTTCTGTCCCTATTGGGGTGTTCTCAACCACAGATACATCGTACCCTCCTGGCTGGCTAAACACTGGCTTCTCATCATTCACATCCAGCAGAGTTACTACAAGCTGGGCGTAGGAGACCTTGGGGTGAACACCCTGGTCCCTAGCACTGATATTCAGTACAACTTGGGAAGCAAGTTCACGGTCCAAGCCCCCAGCAGCCCCAGTGGTCACCAAGCCACTATGTTCACTGATACGGAACCAACCTAGTCCATTGCCAGAAACGATGCTGTAACGCAGATTAGCATTGAGCCCAGAGTCGCCATCTGTGGCAGACACTCCACTCACGTAGCTTCCCGGGGGCGCCTCCTCGCTCAGGTTCACTCTGTACACTTGCTGGGCAAAGACGGGAGGGTGGTCATTGATGTCATTGACAAATATCACCAGGCTGGCCACCGAGGAGCGCGCCTGGCTCCCGGCGGCAGGGGGCGCCCCATAGTTATCTGAGACGGACACGGTCAGGTTGTAAGAAGGGATGCGCTCCCGGTCCAGGGCGCTGGCCACTTTGATGAGGCTCAGGTTCGGCACTTTGCTGCTCTGCACCTCAAAGTGGCGCTGCTCGTTGCCCGCGAGAATCTGCACGGAGATGTTCCCGTTGGCCGCGGGGGAGTCCGCGTCCGTCACGGTGAGCAGAGCCACCACCGTGCCCACCTGAGCGTTCTCATCCACCGAGGCGTAGCGCGAGGTGGCGGGGAAGTAGCGGAACTTCACCACCGGGTCGTTGTCGTTGACGTCCAGCAGCTGAATCAGCGCCTCCGCGCGCCCGGTGAGGGAAGGCACGCCGCGGTCCAGAGCCTGCACCGTCAGCGAGTACTGGCGCCGGGCCTCAAAATCCAGGGGCTCCCGTACGGTGATAAGCCCCGTTTCGGGGTCCATCTGGAAGGGGGTCCCCTCGTCCTGCAGCCGATAGCGGATGTCCGCGTTGGTGCCCTCGTCCGCGTCCGCCGCCGCCACCTGGAGGACGCTGGAGCCCACGGCCGCGTCCTCAGGCACCCCCGCCTGGTAGTGAGAACTGCCAAACACCGGGGGGTTGTCATTAATGTCCTGCACAGTCACGTTTACCTGAAGGTAGCCCCGCCGCTTGGGCTCGCCCTTGTCCTCCACTTCCACCAGCAGCTGGTAGTGCGGCGTGACCTCTCTGTCCAGCCCGCCCTTGGACACCAGATGCAGGAAGGCGCCCTCCCCGCTCGGGTTCACGGTGATGTCCAGGCTGAAGCGACCCTCCTCGTTGCCCTGGATGATGCGGTAGGAGCGGTGGTCCACGCCATTGGAGCCGATGTCCGCGTCGGTGGCTGTGTCCAAGATGACTTGGCGCCCGCTGCTGCTGTCTTCCTTGAAAGTGACCACGATGGAGGGGTCCGGGAAGACGGGGGCGTTGTCATTCAGGTCCCACACTAGCACTCGCACCTCGGTGGGGTAGGTGGGCGAGCTGGACAGGACCACCAGATTGATCACGTCGCTGGGCAGGCTCTCGCGGTCGATGGTGGCCGTGGTGTACAGGGTCCCGGTGCTGCTGTTGATGGCAAACAGGGCGTGGCTTTCGCTGAGCCTGTAGGTGAAGCCGGGGCGCGTCTGGATGGTGCCCACCAGCGTGCCAGGGGGCTGCTCCTCCAGTACTTGGAACACCTGGCGCTGTTCGGCCCCGCCGACGCGGGCTGGCCCCGGGAGCAGGAAGAGCAGCCCAAAGACGCGCAGGAGCTGGAGCGCCGAGGGGCTGGGCAGCGGGAGCCGCGCGGGGCCAGGAGCCCGGCCCGCATCCAAGTCCATGGTCCCGGCTCCTTGGAACGGGGCGGCCAACAGAAGGAAGAAGTGAGGCAAAAGGAATGCAATGAGCGGAATTCAGCAGCCCCAGCAAAAACAGCCGATAGCCCTGAGAACTCTGCTACTCTAAAGAGCCTCCAGCCCGGCAGAAGAAGCAAGTCAGCTCAAGGAAGGACTCCAACCAGGTGGCCATGTAGACAGGTCGTGCCGGAGGGAAGCGGGGACAAGAGGCGGCCGGGCATTCCGCGGGGCGCTCCTGGGAGCTGATGAGTTCCACAAAAGTTTCTCAAACCTCCAGTATTTCCCCGTGAGCGCGTTGGTTTTGAATCCGGAGAGTGTGAGCGTTTTCGCCCCGGTCGCCGAGAGGAGGGAAAGGTGGTCTGTGTTTAAGGTGTAGGAGCAATCGTTGCAAACACTCTCCAGAAACTTTGGAGCTCGCCTGTGGCCAAGAAACAGGAGGGCAGGACAGACGCGGGTGGCGCTGCGGGAAGAGGACGGCGGCGCACGGGGAGGAGCGGTGGGGAGCCAGGAGGTGGGCGAATTCCTTCCCTAAAGGCTGGAGACCAGGGGGCTCCTCGAGTCCCCCCCCTCCCCGTCAGGAACAGCGACACCCTTCCACGGGGGGGCTGCACGAGGGGCTGCGCGGCCCAGGCGGCGGCCGCCTGCGCGAACTGCGCTCCCGGCGCGGGCGCTAGGGCTCCGGAGCCCGCGCGCAGTCCGCCGCGTCCTCCTCCTCCTCCGGCAGCCGCCGCCGCCGCCCCAGCTGCGGGCACAGGCAACGTCCAGCGCTCCTCGGCATGTTTCTATTCTACTTCAGCCGGGGCGCCCGGCAGCCCGTTATTTGTACATCCACTGCGAGCGCAGGCCCCCCGTTCTTCTCGGCCTCGCGGGGGTCGGACAGCAGCGGCGCGAGGTCCCCGCGTCCCCTCCCCTCGGCATGCCGGGGCCACGGTCCTCGGGCGGCCCCGTCCGAGCCCACTCTAGTGCGCCTCGCCCCCGCCCCGGGGACCTTTGCGTTTGAGGTCCCGGGTCAGTTTCACTTTGTAATCCGCAAGGCGCTAGGTTTGGGGGCGGTCGGCTCCCTTCCCGCTGCGCCGTCGGCGGGGCAGGCGGGGACGCGGGCGCGGGGCCGTGGCGGCGCCTGTCAGCGATCTGCTGCTCGCCCGCGGGGCTGGAGGTTGTGCGGCGGAGACGCCGGGGCTCGGGAACCCCTCTCGGCCCCCGCGGGTCCTCGCTGTCCCCGCCCCCTGCCCGCCGCCCGCGCGCGCGCGCGCACACGCTCCGCGCGCCGCCGAAACGCACACCCGGGGGGCGGGCCGACCGCGGGGCGCGCCCGGCTCCGAAACTTTGCTCGCCACTCATTGATCCGCGCTGCGCCCGCGCGGGGGCCCCCTCGCTCGCGGCCTGTCACCCACGGCCCGCCCCCGCCCAGCCCATTGGGCCCCGCGCCGCCCCCGCCCGCGCGCCCGGCCGCCTCGACCGCCGACTGGCTGCTCGCGACGCTAATCACTCCGGCGGCCTCCGGGGGACTGCGGGCGGTCGTGGGGGGGCGGGAGCCCCGCGAGTCGGAGGCGCTGAAAAGGGGGCGATTTTTTTTTTTCCTTTTTGGTCAAATCTTGGCCGGCGTCAGAGCAATAACAGCAAAAAGCTGCTGCAGAATAGATGGGGGTTAGGTCAGGTTTGCAGATAAATAACTTTCGTGCGGGGTCTGGGGGAAGACCGTTCGGTTGTTATGCTAGTAATAACTCAGGGGTGAGGGGGTCGAGAGAAAGAAAAGAAAGGCGGGGGGCGAGGGTCTGTTAGCGCGGGGAGGAAGGATTAAGCAAAGCCTGTCTGGGAATGCACCGAGCAGATTGGCTTTAACCGTTTCCTGCCCCTTCCCTTCGATGGATCGGACAGAATCTAAACCAACTCCCCCTCCCCCATTCCTGCTGGGTCTGCAGCGCGTGCTCCCTGCCCTCCAGGGCTGGCTCAACCCTAAACCTGCACCCATCTCGCCTCCCCAACCCCTAGGTGACGGGGGGGCACCGAGGCCTCGGTACCCACTGCACTTTGGACTTCCTAGAGGAAAAGCCGGGGGAACTTGGTGTTTGTTTTGCTTCCCTCCCCAAATGGATCCCAGGTGCCAGTAGCCAAACCTTACGGTTTCAACGATAACAATGGTAGCCCTTGGGAAAGAAGGCGCTCTTTTCCGGTTGCAGAGTTTGGGATTTTGATCTCTGTTGGAGTGTTTCCCCTTGACATTTTGTAGCCAAAGGAATACCGACCTTTGTGTGTGTGTGTGTGTGTGTGTGTGTGTGTGTGTGTGTGTGCGCGCGCGCGCGCTGCTGCGGGGCGAGTGGGTGGGGGGTGGATGAGAAGGAGGGGGGAGTCTGGGGAAAGGATAAATATGAGGAAAATATATAAGTAAATACAATGAATTGTAAACTTGAAAATTGCTCATGTGTCTTGTACTACACTCAGATTAACTCCCCTGCTATTTACTGTGGCTAATTTTGGTGGTGTCATGCATCGCGTCTAGAAAAAAAAAAAAAAGACTAGAAATCAGGTCAGTATTCCTTTCCCTTTAAGAGAAACCAGTTCGAAAATAAGAATTTAAACGAGCAATGCAAATACAGTATAGGGCGTATCTCATACACTTCTGCCACCCTGATCCCCTCCAATTTAAAACTTTCTGAGCCCGAGGAAGACGCAGCCATGCGTCAATGCTGCCCTCTGCTGTTCGGTCGCTCTTATGTCTTTGGTTGCCCGGTTTCTTGCTCAAAATTAAACGCAGAGACCAGAAAGATCAGATTACACGGCTCATTCCTCCTTCTTGCCTAGGGATAGTGGCAAAGAAAAAAGATCTTTAGGGATCTCCTAGTCCCTTTCTTTATTTAAGGTAAAAAAAGAAAAGAAAGCAGTCGAGCAAACAGCAAATGCAAGTCCTCTGATGCGGACAGCCTGTAACGGAAGCATCCATGGAAACCTGAATACTAAAAAACGCGATCGCCAGTTCCTTTGTTTAGGTTAGAAGGTTCGCTTCTGCACGCCCCTCCACTGCGTGGATATACGTAATGGCACATACAGTATATGTAATCAGTGAATTGGAAACAGACAAGAAAGTTAAATTTCACCATTCCTGTACTTTCAGAAACGAAAAAGTTTTTAAAGCTTTGGAAGCTGTTTTTTTTTTTTATGGGAGACCCCTTTTAAGTCTTTTCTCAAACCTTCCCCTGCCAAAAAGTTACAATCTCAATACCATTATTTCAGAGTAACTGAGCGAACAAAGAGTTGTACATTAAAGTAGAACCGAAATTTTGTACAAACCATGGCTATGATGTGTGATTTTGAAAGAATAGTAGGGGTTTTTCTGTTGTGTGTTGTTCTTTGCTAACATACTTTGGTCATTCGAGTTGCAAGAGGTAGAAAGGCAACACCAGGTACTTGTTGTAGCAGAGCAAGTACCGCGGAGAGAGCCTGTGGGACATCTCCTATTTAGTATCAGCGCGTTACATTAGTATCATTTATGGGCGGATTTAATCTGGGGCAACAGGCGAAAATCATTCATTCTGCAGAATGGGAGTGTCCATTCTGTGTAATCTATATTTTATATTATATAAATTTATTTTTAAAATAAGATGGCAGAATTAAGTAAAACAGAACATATGTATATATTCAGTACATGAAATAACTTGTGAACAATTCTGAATAAGGAGTAGCAAAAATGATTTAGATAATGGTACGGTTATTTGAATAATGGAAGCTTCCCATGATAACTACTTTAAAGTAACACATTCATTTATAGGTAAAACCTACACTTAAAGTTAAAATTTATGTATACTAGGCACATAATTTAAAGGACAGTATAGAGAATGGTTTTAACAAAAGATAAGGAACAAAGACTTTATTTTATTTTATTTTTCTCCATTGGGTTTCAAAACTTGTGTCGATATGATGCATGATTAAAAAGTAAGGATGCTGCTGTTAATTTTTTTTTTAATTTTAAAAAATTAAGTAAATATGCAGCCCAAAAGGTAAAATGAAAGAAAATAAAGACATAGCTTATTTTTGCTCTTCCACCAAAAGCTTAATTATTTTAAGAAAAGGATGACTTAGTGAAAGCTTTCACTAAACAGGAAATGAGATGAGAAAGACGATGTTCAGCAACTTTAATACGCTGTAGGGAAAATTACATTTTGATGTGCAGGCATGAAAGAAACTAGAGATTCTAGCTCCTTTGAACTGTAGGGAATACTTAAAAACAAACAGCTTTAAAACAATTTGTTATCTTGATCTGTACGCACCAGCCATCATTACTTCATTCAAAGTCTGAAATTACTACTATTTGTGCATGTTTCAGACCCCAGGTGAAGAAGTTTAGGCTAATCATACTGACCTCATTCAACCCCACCCTCCTCCCCTGTCTTTACCCCTCTTCACTCCCCATCACGGGACCCCAGCGGCAAAGGTTACAAAAGGGGACTCTCATCTTCCAGAATTTATGTGGCAATTCCTATCATATTGTGTCAGCTCTTTGATCTTCTAAGAAAATATTTTAAAATGAAGTAATTTTAGTAGTAATAATAGCCTGACATGTTGCCAAAATAGGAAACCTAATCTCCATTATTTCTTTAATTATTTTCCTCTTTCCAATTTTTCTTTCTCCTTTGGGAAATCTTATTTGGTACTTACTTACCCATAAACTGGGTTGATAGTTTGTCTCACTGTCTTCTGGAAACTTCCACAATCTGATATTCCAATTCACTCATTTATTTTTCAGGTATATCCACTCTACCACTGACTAATTTTTTATTCTCTTTATACCAACTCATTTTTTCATACTTAATATTTCTATCTTGTTTTTAAATGCGTTTTAACCCATTTTCTATTGACAGTATTCGTCAGTCATCTCTCGATGTTTAAAATGCCTTTTAGATTCTCCTTCCACCTGTTAAAAGGTCTCTCTCCTGTGTGTCCAGCTTGCCTTACTGGGAGGCATTGCTTTCCTTACGTGTTAGCTGTTGGGCTAGTGAGCTCTTGTTGTGCTCAGAGTCAGCTGAGCTGGTAACATGTGCTGAGGAGGGATTTCTGAAGGCCCGGCCTGTCTGTGAGTTGAGAGCAGGGCTTGGCAACATTTTTAGCTAAAAAAACAAGATAGTAAATATTTTAGGTTTGGAGAGCCCGACAGTCTCTGTCACGCTACTACCTAAACTTGCCCTTGTAATGAGGCAGCAGCTGTGGAGAATGTGGAAATCACTGGGAATGTATGGCTGTGTTCCAATAAAACTTTATTCATCAAAACAGAAAGCAGGTCCAATTTGGCCCTCAGGATGGCCGCTGTTTTAGAGCGTAGGAGATGCGCCTTGTACAGGAGTCTCGACTAGAACCACCACTGTCCATCATTTCCATTTGTGATCTTTTTTTACATCTATGTACCTACATAGATGCATAGTCAATAAAGTCAATATTTTGAATAAGATTCAACATTTCTATGTTTTACATGAGTTGCCTTTTTACCTTTCTCCTTTGACATTCTGTAATCTTGGATGTTAAACTCTGCAGTACAGTGTGATTGGGAAGTGCCCATGGCCCTGAATTGTAATCCCAGGCTGCGGTTTTCAGAGCAGGGTGGGACGTTCAGTGCCTAAGGGCGACAGGTGTGTATGCGTGTGTCTCCTGAAGACACTGACGTCTTGGCTGTTGCTGCGAATTTCTGCAGAAAATCGCACAATAATCGCCTCAAGGTGACACAGG